GCCATGCAGTCTTCAATCGATCCTTCGAGAAGATTTCGAAACTCTCATAAGCAGCATTAAATTTGTAAGTACGAAGAATATGAAGCATTGTACCAGCACATTCTTGAACTGTAAGAATAAACGATCCAGTGTATGTTCTGCCACTCATAGTCGATGTTACAGTAATCGTCTGGTTTGACACAACGACATTCGCAAATCCAGAAATCACACAAGTGGAAGAATCGATTGTAAGACCTTCAGGAAGGTTTTCCGCTGAACATGAAGAGAATCCATCGAGATCAGGTTGAATATGTACCTCTTCGTATTTTGCCCAAATAGTGTAATTGTTAGGAGTGAAAGTGATTGAAGGAGGAATTGATACGTGACAAATCATAGGATGCAATTCATATGCCGTTACATAAGTAGAATTAACACTACTAGCAATTCGGACACGATAGTGGTTAAATAAAGAAGCTTGGTAATAGCCAGTAAACCAGCCGAACACTTCGCCATCATACGATGCATTTTCAATACTAATCACATCCATCCATTCCGAATTGTCATTCGATCCTTGCCAATAGACTTCACTTGGTGCTGATAAAATCGATGTATAAGGCCAAATACGGATTGCATTAATGAAGGGTTTCGGTCCCTGAAAAGTGTAGGTTACAGTAGCAGGAAGATCGGAAGAATTGGCATAATAATAGGATGACTTATCAAAATCAATGATATTATCCACATTTGATCCAGTATTAGATTGTACCTCGATAGACTCAGCATACATAAAGCAATTGAACTGACTAACTGAATGAGCCAGGATAGCAAGATAGGCATTGAAATCGACAGTACTTTGAGGATTTAGAAAATGAACCTCCACAGCCAGAATCGATTGTTGTGAAGCCACTTCCGAGCCAGGTCGAATGAATCCACGATAGGCAAGCTCAGAATATTGCCCAGTCGCAGCAGTAGTAGAAGAAACAGATCCATCAGGTAGATTGTCCCGATACACTTCATTCCCATTGATATAGGCAATCACTCCAGCCTTGTAGTACAATCGCACATCATAAGCAGCCATATCAGAAAGACCCACAAACTGTTTGCGGAAATACTGAGTTCCAGACATTGCAGGAATTGGATCAGAGCCAAGTGTAGCATTTATCCAAGAACTATCGGAGAAAGAGTAATCAGTCCATCCTGAAGAAGCACTTCCAGAGACTATTTTCCACGTAGCATTCTGTTCAATACCGTAATACAAAGAAAGAGGATAGGTTCTTCCACTCGCATCAACCAACAAAAATTTGAATACAGCATTCCCATATTTGCCATATATAGTAAGATAAGAACCACTGGACCAACTAGTACCAGATGTAGTGAATAACACAATAGTATACTGATTATTTAATGAAGAGGTCAAGCATTGCTCAGTAATACGAGTTTCATTGTTAATAAAGCCAGAACCAGTGTAAAGAGTAGTAACGCCAGATAAAACTACAAATATCTCATCATTCACATTTTCGTAACCAGAAACTTTTACAAATTTCATATAGGTTTGTCCAGAGTCACAAGTAATGACGCTTAGCGCAATCGAGACTAAAAGTCAGTGTTTTGTGCATATCCGTACTTAGTATACAGAATAATAATAGATACATACTGCACAATTGAATTTTGACTACAAAAGCAGAATAGATTCGTTTCCAAAGGTAAAATGGCTATTTTTAGAGATATGTCTCAAAGAAATATATGATTAAATAGCTATAGGTGTTCACTATCGATAAATCCATTAATAGGAGAAAAGGCACAAAGACTAATGACTTCCTTATTACTTAAGTAATAAATGCATATTATTTGGGATAATCGATACTACGAGGAATAAAGAACATGTTAATTAATGATTATTAAATTCATGAAGGCAAAATGGAGAGCGAATGTGGAATTCCTACCAAAAGTGAAATGAGATGAAATCAATGGTGATAAACCATAGAAGAGAAGGATATCCTTATGATCAACACAATAGTTCAGACAGGATGACAAAAGTAGATATTCAATTATCAATGCATAGTGAACCTATCGTTAGATAATACCAGACTGATATATTCAAATAGCCAATATCTTCAAAAGAACAAAAGGGGTATTATAACGAGTATGAAGACAACAAACAATAGTACTGCACTTGGGAAATACAAGCAATAGCATTCTTTGGTGTTTAATAAAGATGTTTCTAGTAGATGTCCATGAAAAGCGGGTAATCGTTTAATAGAGAGAGACTCTATGTCTCACAGATATGAAAATAACAAAAAGAATATCATTGCTAATGCAAATAGAGATGATTCATCTATGTTGACTATATATGGAGGCAATGAATCTAAACTTATCGATAAATGCTTCATTCCTATCACTTGCTTTAGATGAAGATAGGAATAATGTTTCGTAAAACGTTAAATCGCAATATCAAACAATGCGTGGTTAAATCATGAATGTGATGGAAGAACACACTACCCGAATGAATACAACGTTGTGATTATAACAGAGACATCTGATAGTAATCACAATCACAGATATTGGGTGGAAAAGCATTCAAAATCTAAATTGAATGAATGGAATAAGAAGACCCAAAATAAGTGATGTGAATTCAATATTCGAAAAACAACAATAGAATGAAGTGGATTCATTGGATTCATTGGATTCATTCAATCTGAAGAGCAGGGAGAAAGCGGATGGGATCTTCCTGTACACACAACTCGACATATCCACCAGCAGCTTGCAAATCGCTTTCACGAATGCCATCCACCAGCAAGGATTCACTCCACTCTCTCGCACATGCTTCCAGATTCGCATAACCGCGGGAAACGACAACACCGAACAACCCTCAATGAGAAAGTTCACCAGATTGAGTGTGGCAGGACTGGGAACCACGGCGTGGGGAGACGAAGGCAGATCACCGCTCAGTTTCTTCATAGTCGAAATGGCCTCGTAAAGCTGATTTGTCTACAGAGAAACAAACTATCCAGAAACTACGCGCGACTGAGCGAATTCACGCAGCTTTACTTCCTCGCTGGCGAAGCTGGACAAGATAGAATCGAGGGAAACGAATCCATCGCGACAAAGCTGGGCGGAGAGAAGCAGAAGCGAAGAAGGCACCACACCGTCCTACGCCTCATTCCATCGCTTTTCAATCACGTTGTGTGTCTGATAAAACACAAACTTGAATCGCAAAATCCGGGAAATCTCCTCTGTTTTGAACTCGCTGAACAGATTTCGAATCAGCATATATTTCGATGGCTCGAACTCACAAGCGTCTAGAAGCATGTCAAACACACGATTTGGATCGAGCGAGAAGAGTCCGATCGTACTCGAGATTACGGAGAGAAGAGTCGATTCGGTGAGTTTGGACTGATGAAGAAACGTTAACAACTTCGAGTAACCCTCGTTCTCTTCACGAATCAGATTGAACTTGTGTTGAGTGTAGTAACGCTGCGTGTTGATTCGCTTGATTCGTTTTGTAAAATCGTCTTGCTGCGTTAGTCGGAAAAGGTTCAATTTGTCCAGCTCCAGACAAACATTGCACAAACTCGAAGCGAATGATTCTTTGACAAACTAGGAAATGAACAAACCTTGCATCTATTACCTTTTGAATCGTTGAAAGCTGAACCATAAGAATTGTTTCTTCCAAATTTGAATCCAAATATCTCCAAAACAGCTCATAGATCAACTCCGTGACAGCATCCGAATCTAGTAAAATTATGATAGAAATGAATAATTCCATACTATTTCTGTCTTGATTTTCATTCAAGAACGATAATATATGTGAGTTTCTAATTACAACCTAACAAGAGCTCCATACATATTTGAATCAAGCGTTCCTTCTTGGTTACCAAATAGGGTTATTGCGAGTATAATAGTGAGAACATCTATTATACTCAACATAGAAATCCAACAGTCTATTCAACACAACTAGTATTTGACTTTCTGTTTCCTAATTTTAGATATTTACAATATATGGTTAATGGACATGTAGAATTACAAGCGATACATGTTAATAATGCTTCTGAAAGTATTCTCTGTGAATGTTGCAAATCAATTTTATATCAAATCTATCAATACTTCAAATGGGGAATATGTTGTTGAAGTAGGATATCCTCACGAGGGATATACAATTCAAACCACATTATTGAATTCTAAATTGAATGGAAAGTCATATATCATTTCAAATGACAATTTGATAATTGTACAACTCTATTTTGATAATGGAATTGTATCATATCTTTGTATATTGTTTGATGAATTAGATTATTATTATTATTATTATTATTTACATTCTATTTGGATAATGACTATCGACAAGGAAGGGAACAGAATATGATGAAAATGGAAATATGATAAATAGACTTCAATGAGATGTATCTGGGAGAATGAATCAAATTTGAATTCGTATGATGGAATTGGTTAGGAATATGGATGTGATGGTCAAGGAATCGAATATAGAAGTATGAGAATTCACTAGAATGGAAAATGGATAAATGATCACAAAGGATGGACTTGCTAGATTATTCCCTGTGGATTAAATGCAATGTTGGTCATTATTTGTACAATGAAACTTACAATACCTGTTTTCGAAATGAAGGATGATATCAAATAGGTGAAGACGATCCATGATGAAGAGTAGAATTATTGGAATATGGATCGTTTTCAACTCGATCAATCGATCCATTGGAAACTTTGAAGATCGGTGATTATTCTTTCCTTTTTTCCTAGAATTGATCCAGATTGGATTGAAAGAACAGAATTGGTGTCGTTCTTTCATATATAGTAGTTTTACTGTAAAAGGAAATCGATTCGAATGTGTCTGTCTAAATTGTGGATTTGCCCAAACTTGAGAAATTAATTGCAGGTCCTGAGTGTTTCAAAGAATGTCGAATCGACATTTCCTAAACGATTCCATGGGTTCAAGCAGAGTTGGATATCGATTCTTCGTTTCGAAAAATCATTTAAGTATCGGAGTCGAACACTAATTTTTCTCTCTCTCTACATCGTTATCTACAACTATGGGAATAGTGGTTGTTTTCTTCGTGCATTCTACCTTCCTTCCATTGATTGCATTCATTGTTTGTATGATCAAAATAAAAACAATATATATTGTGAAACACAGTGATATTCTGTTACAAGAATCGAAATCAACAGAGAATAAAGAAGCTAGATTGTTCGATTCTTGAATTTGTTCATTTTAGTAGATAATCCATTACAGAACTTTGATTCTGTGCCACCATTGTTGAGTAGCATGCTATTAAGTAAGAAACTCTATTGCAAGTAGACAAAGGCTGAGTATCAAGAAACTCACAGTGTATCGTACATTAACCATCTACAATGGCATCATTCAATAATTACAATCACGAATTTTTATTATCCCTATTCGTCCTAACCACTATCACCA